AGGCCTGTAAAATGAGGAAACGGGCTGTAGTGCTGTCTGGCCCACAAGCACAAGACACCAGTGAAAACTGCAGAAGAGGAATTAGTGGCTCCTTCTGATGTAAAATACCACACACACGTACATTTCTTCAGTACTGCACAGTTCAGATGTATTTAGTGCCCCAAATATTCTTCATACAGTCACGCAATGCCACGTACATCTGCTTCTTGTCCTACCCCCAAAAAAAGGATTTAAAAAAAAAAATCACTTAACAATTCTTTTTAATTTGTATAATGAGTTTTTGCAAAAAGAGCCGGAGCCTCACAAATTGCCTGGGGAGAGGGCAGCTGTCAGGCTCCCACTGCTGCAGGCACCCAACTGTTCAAAAGCTGCTCTTCCTCGTTTAATTTTAGTCACTTTAACAGCATGCAGAGCAGTTAAATGATACAGTGGTCTCATGGGACTGTAGGCAGAAGCAAGTCCTGCTATTTCCTGAGTTGAAGACTTGCCATTAACTTTGTTGTATTCATATATTTAAGCCTGCTTGCACAAAGGCTGTGTAAACATGGGACGGTGGAGGCCTTAAGATCTCATTAGCCCATTTCATGGGGCTGCGGAAGGGCTCAGCTCTTGAGCATCCCTGGAGTCTTTGAAGGGGACATGCAAGCATCTTATCTCTGGCACAGATGACTTCAAGAGGTTTTTGTCTCCTTTCAAAAGGCTTTTAGAAACTTCTGAAAGCTAAGTAGCAACTTTGGTAGCTCAACCTCATGTTAATCCCACGTGGCTTGGGAAGAGGAGCTATGTTAAAAAAAAATTCTTGCAGAAAGGCAGCATAGTATATCTTAAATTTTATGAATCTTAGAATTGTGCTGTGTTCAGGCTTTTTGAAGCCAGCCCTGAGGAGAGGAAGTAAAATGATCACCAACTTGTGTTTTGTTTTCCCCTAAGCCAACACCACAAACACAAAATACCAATCACCCTCTCAAGAAAACACCGTAATCACAACAGAGTCCTTGTTCACAGTTTGCCTTTTTCCTTAATGGAGCTCTGAGAAATGCCTTAGGAGGAATTTGCGGCTCGACAGCGTTACGTTTCCAGCTCCCGGGGGTTCAGGATGCTGGTGTGTAAAGGGCAGCTGTTGGCAGTAGCGCCTGTGCTGATATCAGTGGAAAGTCTCTGATCGTCTTCACGTAGGACAGAGACAGAAAAACAGCCAACAGAGAACCTCTTAGAAGTGTCTGTAGTTCCTAACACTGAAGCTGAGTGCAGTTTAAATAGATATAAATATATATCTATTTAAATAGATATATTTAAATATCATAGGAGAGGTGGTGTGGAGAAATGCTTGGCTGCTCCTGCCAGATCCCCCTGAGTCTCTGGTGTGACTCTGAACCCTTTCCTGTCAGGCACAGACCGGATAACTTTAACTCAGATGTTTTTGGAGGTGGTTAGGGTTGGGGTACCTGGCTGTACTTTGGGGGTGGGTCTATAGTGCCTGTTTTCAGCTGCTGCAAGGGGATGACGCTGCAGCCTGAGGTGTTGTTCTGGCTCAGGGCAAACTTGGGGCAGTCCTGGATTTTAACTGTGCTTCGTTCTGAGCAGATGCGGGATCATCCTGGAGTCCCACAGAGGGAGCTGGAGCCCAGGGAAAAGCGCTGCTGGAGCGGCTGAGTGAACAGAAGAGGTCCCACTTCTCTCTGCATTCAGATACCGGCTGCTCTGGTCTTGAACTTTGCACGGGATCCTCTGGAAGATACTGTTGGACTGTACTCACGCATCCTGGTTTTCTTCCCTCTTTCCACTCTCCCTCCACTACAAATCTTAAAAATTGTTTGGGGTTTGGCTTTTCTGTCTGACAAACCGAATGTGTTGCGAGTTCTGGGGCGAACAAATACGGTGATAGGAAAACTTCAGTAGCTGCTCGAGAGGGCTGTTCTGGACAGGGATTTCAGTCCTAGTGTGTGAGGTCCTCCAGGGAGCTCCAGTCCGGCTCCTGTTCTTCACTTGAATGTGGACAATAGTGTGCAAACGTGCTTGTTTGGTGGTGATGGACAGTTCCTCTCGATGGTTTATGTCTCCTCCGTGGTGGTTAGGGGTCGTCATCATCAGGATGTGCAGTGGCAGCGTGTTTATTGCCTCCAGGGGAGATCTGAACTCTGCAGGCTCCCGTGGTGCTCAGGGATATTGGGGTGAACCACCCCAGCAAGGACAGTGCTCACCAGCAGCGAGACAGTGCCTGGTTTGTGCTCTGAACTCCATATGTCCTCTGCCAAGCGCAGGTTGCAGTCTGGTCTTGCTGTGGGAGTGTTACATCGGAGCTGGGGAGGGATTGGGTTTTGTTTGCTATTTGGAGATAGTGTTTTACCTTCCTTACAGCTCCTCGCCTGCTTGTTTTTTAAAATACTTTCTCTGACTTTTACAAAATAAAGTGTTGTTTCTTTACCAAGACGTTGTACAAGCATGTTGTGGTGGTTCTCGGCACCTTGGAGAATTTGGATGAGAAACAGTTGCAAGATCTTCCATCAGGTTTCTTTTGTATCCACTGTGAAGACTGTGCCATGTACAGGAAGACAAATATTTTCTACCTATTTGTAGATGTGTTCCTATCTTTTTTTATATGTCTAGAAATGTAAACTTTTTGTCAGTCTGAGCAACCTCTTCACCAGTAAGCATTGTTATAGTTCATTCTGCAATATGAGGATTATAGATCACCGAACAGGTTGCCCAGAGAGGTGGTGGAGGCCCCAACCCTGGAGATATTCAAGGTCAGGCTTGATGGGGCTCTGAGCATCTGGTACCAATGTCCCTGCTCACTGCAGGGGTTGGACTGGATGAGCTTTAAAGGTCCCTTCAACCTAGCACATTCTGTGATTCTCACTGGCCTATTGTTATGAGAAGCCCTCTGAGGACGTGGGTCTTGTTGACCTTATGGGCTGTGGCTCTCAGCTAAGTGAGAGCTCAGCTGACCCCATGGACTGTGAGATTGCAAACGTTGTATAATGCTGAGATTACAAATTGCACTCTCTCCAGGTGAGGCCGGGCTATAAGGTAGGTGGGACTGATGTTGGCGAAGGCTGGTGCCCAAATAGAGAAAATTCAAGTTCTAACTTGGAGCTGGAGCTAGTGCTTTCCAGCAGATTTATTCTCCTGGAAAGTAAGCCTCCCATCTTAATTATTTTTGCCAAAGATACCAACATTTCATAGTGCCCAGCTCTCAGCACATGCAGTTGGGCTGAGTGTAAGTGGTTTCCTGCACACGTGTATGGGGACTCTTGCCATGTGGTGGATAAGCACAGAGGAGAAGATACAGAGCTGAGTTAACGCCTTCAGGCAAATGCACTCTGGGGTGAAGAGCAGATGTAAGAAGCTTCATATGTGCTGTAGCTGACACGGAAAATGTGCTTGTAAAGTGCCTTTAAAATTGGCTCTCCTTACTTTTTACTAGCTCTGTCCTTTGCCCAAGTCCAACAGGATCTCAGCTGTTGAAGAAGTTTTACCCCTGCAATTGCTTTGGCAGTCCAAGAAGTTCATTCACCATCTTGTCCCCCTTCACTGATCTCCTCCAAGATCATCCCAGTGCCAATTGCTGCCTTATGGATGTTCTTACCTGGTTCTTGCTGTGGTTGGCAACTATTCAAAGTGTTCTGCCATAAGCAAATATTTACTTTACGAAGGATTTCTGATGGCATACATACTTGTCCTGTTTGGTTTCTGATGGCAAACATACGTGTTCTGTTTGATTTCTGTATGTGTCAAGATTATTTCTTCAGGGAAGGAGTTTAAAGGTGGGTGAAATGAATGTTCTGGTTTGCATCTCTTCAGTTAAGATGCCCTGTGATGGGTGGGACTATGAAGCAGGAGTGGTTCTTGAAAGACAAAGGAGTGTTCTTGAGGTGTGATGCTCTGTCAAGACATCCCAGCAAACATCCTTAGGGATCTTAACTTATAACAAATGGAATAAAAGACAAATTACAAGAAGTCCAGGGATGACGTTCCACTACTCTGAAAGCAACAGGGCTCTGTTCTCCTTCCTATTTTGTGCTTTGACCCAGAGGAAGGGAGGCTGCCACCAAAAACTGCATGCAAGACACGTGAACAACTCCTGTTGCTCAAGTGGATGCATTTTTTTAAGCTGAATGTTAAAGCTAGATGGACCAACAACCATGTTTGGTTCCAGTTTCTCTGGCTACTGAGAGATATCTGTGAACTTTGCATTTCTCTGATAACCTGTAGAAATTGTAGTCAACTATTAACCAAATCCTGTACTGTTCAAACTAGTCCCATAGTGTAGGAGGTTAATACTAAGCCAGCAAGATGTGGTGTACCTTGCATGTAGAGGGATAGGAACGAATGTGCTTTGGTGGGAAAACTGTGTGACCTGTGCGCCGTCAAGAACACGAACCTGGGAGGATGAACCTGTTCTCTGTGAACTGAGTGCCCCAAGCAAGTTGGTCCGTGCAAGGTAGGACAAGGAGCAGTATTTTGGCCCAAGGGCAGATATACAATTTATGGCTGTGGGAGGGTTAATGCAGTTCAGTTTTATGGCTCTGGACCCATGGCAAAAACCCTCTCTGTGGTCCCATTTTCCCTGCAATGTGAGCAGTCTCCAGCTGCACCATCCACAGCTGCCCATGAGCTGCAGCTCCATTGCTATAGACTTATATTGTCCATGTACAAATAGCAGGGCTGGGAAAGGCTCATTTAGCAGCTTTTGCAATAAGTTTGCACCTTCTAGTTGGACAGATGTGCTTGTTTCCATTGTTTTCTTCTGTTTTGAGTCAGGATCTGGTAAAAGAAGATCTGATGGAGCGGTGAGAGACTCAAACAAGGAAAAGGAAGAGAAGACACAAGGGAGTCACGCAGCAAGGGAACGATCAGACAACAACTTACCTCGGCTGATAGTGCTTGCCATTGATTGGATGTGTTTGGGGGATTTTCTGTGAGGGCGTTTCCATCCCCTGTGTTGTCTGTTTTGGCTATAAAAGCCTGCACTCGGCATCCGTGAGTGAAACGCCAAAATGAAGTTGAAAGGACAGAAGCAGGAGAGCTCTGACTCCAATGGAGGTTCGAAGGGGGTAAGTACGTGTGTGCAGTTTCTTTCCTACTTCCTAGCCAGTTTTAGGCTTCAGACACTTCTGGATGGAGGCTGCCTTCTACAGCAGCATTTTTGCGGGATCTTGCACGATGCAATGCTCGTGTATGCCAGAGGTTTTCCTAAAAGTGCTGAATGTGAATAATTAACATCAGTGGCTCTTTAGGGCTCCTGGGATTTATTTGGGATGAGCAAGGCCGCCTGCTTTTCTTCACTGGTGACAGAATGTCAACAGACTGCTCCTTGAGAGCAGGGCTGAAAGCCTCAGCTTTCTCCTGATCCTTGCTCTGAGGTCAGCTTGAATTTTATTCTCCTGAGGTGCCCTCAACTCTGCAGAGCTCTGTAGGTGACCTGCTAGAGCTTCTGAGGAATATAGGGAATATAAAGATTCCAGCAGCTCTTTGGACAAATGTTCAATTAGAGAAGCGACAGATCCTTCACATGGGACCCAAGTTGAGTGTTGGGACATAAAACCTCGCAGACATTAAGGCTAAATGATATGTGTCTGAAAGAAAAGTCACTTTACTGATGTAGCAGCAATGAGATAGATCAGTGAGCTCTAAAAGAAAACCAACAGAACAGCTCAGTCAACACCGTAGGGCCAGCCTGAGGACCTAATAGCAACCAAATTGTTGCAAAAAGCAAGTTGCTTGTAACCGTGAGAGGACTATGTACCCACAAACGTGGTTGGTGCCAATCCAGATAGCAAATTCACCCTTCTGTTTAACTACAAAGTGCTGCTCTTATACCCCGCAACCAAGCCCTTGCTGAGCTGCTTGGGTGAGTTCTAATTGGCTTCAATGGCAATCGGATGAGATCCATGAGCAGCTTGATCCCGAAATGAGGGAGGCAGAACGAGCCAGCATGTGAAAGCAGAACAAATGAACAGGAAAGGGATTTTGCCACTTGGTGCAAAACTGCTTCTTTTTTAAGCTTTCCTGTGCCAGGATCCTGCGTTATTTCGCTAACCAATTTGCACATTGGAAAAAGAATAGTTGCAAACAACTCTTTTTTTTCCCTGCAGGGTGGTATTTTAAGAATGATAACTTAAAAATTATTCATCATCCGAATGATCTGTCAATACCAGGAAAGAGTAGAATGAATTACTATAATGACTATGTGCAAATCAAGCAAAAGAAAATGAGTTATAATGAAAACAGCCCATTGGGCTTTCTTTATGCAGTAACATGAAGTTAAAGAAAAGACAACCACACAAGGCAAATTTTAGGGTATTTCTTTATTTTTACTGAATCCCATCTATGCCTAAAAGCCAAACCTGTTTTTTATGGTGGTTTTTTTGTGTGTTTTCTGTTCTCTCTGCAGAAAATGACACCTTTGCTTGCACTGGTGGCACTGATATCTGCGTTTGGATCTTCCTTCCAGTATGGCTACAACGTGTCCGTGATCAACTCCCCGGCCCCGGTAGGTTGGGCTGTGGCGTGGACCATGCCCAGGTTTACAAGCAGCACAAGGCAGGAGCGTGACAGCGGCTGAGGGTGTTCGTGAGGAGGTGGTTGCACTTCTCTGTGCTTTGAATCACCTGTTGAGCAGTGGTTCCTTGGGAGCAGAAAAGGGTGCTGTTTAAGTGTATAACACTGCTGTTTGGACTTCGTGCCCAGCAGATTTGGGGCCTGAGGACTGCCTTTCTTCCTAGAAACCAAGCAAATCCTGTAAGGCAGGATAGCTTGCAGTAACCGTTATCTAGTCCTGGCTTCTCCATCCCTCTCTTGCATTTGTTTTCCAACTCAGCCATTCTGTTTTTTATCTTTTGTTTACAGCTTTATGGCATTTCTTGTTAACTAGCTTTTACAGCATGAGTATTTTCCTTACTGTGCTAAGCATGCTCTGTATTTCGTTCCAGTACATGCAAGACTTTTACAACCGAACCTACTTGGACAGGCATGGAGTGCCTATGATCAGCAGCTTCCAGACAGTGCTCTGGTCTCTCACTGTGTCCATGTACCCTCTGGGTGGCTTCTTTGGGTCCCTCATAGTGTGGCCCCTGGTCAACAATTGTGGCCGGTACGTGACGGTGGCGTTTAACATCCTCCACCAGCAGTTTGCTGGGTTCAGATAAGAGTTGCCTCACCGGTCACTCCAGCTTGCCAAGCCCCTCAGGAGCGTGACCGTGTCTCACACACCTTGATCGTAAGGCAGATGGGTCGGCGATTAGTTGCTGGATTCGGCAACACACGTTGTGTCCCATGTGCAGAAGATCTTATATGGTTTCAGCACGGCAAAGGTCAGGCTGTACGCTGGGACCTGAGCCAGGTAGAGAGCAATGATCAACGTCCTGGGCTGGGATCTGAGATCAGGCCCAGCTTCTGCTGCTTGGATTTCCTGAGAAACCTCGCCTTTTTCCTGAAACCTCCATTCCCTGCAGGAAAAATGGGGCAATCGTCCTTTTGCCTTTGATTAGTCTTTGGGATGGTGATTCGTTTGAGTTTTGTACAGTATAGCACAGAGGGGACTTACCTGCCTTTGGGGCCTTAGAGAAAATAAACTGAGTTTGTCTCGTTCTCTATCACTTTGCAGAAAGGGCACTTTGCTGATAAATAACTTCTTCTCCATTACTGCTGCAGTCCTTATGGGAACCTCAGAGATAGCAAGAACTTTTGAAGTAATCATCCTTTCACGTGTTATCATGGGAATATATGCTGGTAAGTGAGAGGCTGGATGGTAAAGGGAGGGCAATAAATATATTCTTGGCTATGTAAAGGTTTTTTTATTCTCACAACAGATGGTTTCACAGGTAGCACATTTTAGCCATACGTCTGTATAACAGCGCTGTACTTGCCTGAATAACAGTTGTCATCTGCATGTTGCAGAAGTACGAAAGATCTCCAGTAAACAGCAGCAATGAGACTGGAATTTAGGGTGTATAGAGGCAAGGTGTGTCTGTAGACCCAGCTATCCTCTGCAATAGGCATCTGCTAGGCCCTGGAGCTCTGATAGCCAGCAAACCTAATGATAATAATGTGTTTTCCCAGGCATCTTAAAGCAGATAGCCTTTTGGTTTTTAAGATAATCAGAAACAGAATAATCTTTCTCAGTCATTGGAGCCAATGCCAGATCAAATAACCCAGTTCTGGAACTGACTGTTCTTCCTGCAGGAGAAAAGAGATCTCAAAAGGGAGAGTGAGGAGTTCAGAGTCACTGGATTTACTGCAAAGGTGGTGGGAAGCCAAGGAGAAGGGTGTGAGAGTTGTTGGTATAAGTGGTTATATTGGAGTCATAGGGAACAACCAGAGCCCCAGAACGGGTGGGTGCGTCATGCAGAACCACACTGTGCCTGTGCAGGCCAGGTTGATAAGGGTCCTAACAGCATTTAGGCTCAATTAGTTGGCTTTGGGCTAGCGAGACTGGTATGCTCCGTGGTTTGTGAGTTGGGATATCCTGTAAAGAGAAAATGGGAAAACAAGAAACAAACACAAGAAAACTGTTTGCTCTGTACCATGCAGCGATCGCAGTTGGTGAGCTGAGGCAGGAAATGTATCCAGTCCAATGGTTCTGGTTTGACTTTGGACTCTCCTAAGCCAGGCAGCTACTGGTAGTATTGGTCCTCTGAATATAAATACTAAGGGATCTGTTAAGTGTGATCCCTCTTTCCAGTTATTTATAACTGACAAAATAATCTGGACTGGCTGTCTTGAGCTGCCCTTCACAACCTGATCTCCCTTGAACTGTGGACTTCGTGTCTGGAGGGGAAGCTGCTGAGCCCAGGAGCCTTCTTCAGGCTCTGGCGGATCCCAGCGTCGCTCTTCCTTGTGAACAGGCAGCTCTAGCGCAGTGACCAGGAGTCACTGCTCACATGTTTTGATCTGGGCAATTAAAAGGCTGCTTATGATGTGAACTTAAACCACCGCACCTCCTGAGTTTAGTTTTATAATGTTTTGTAGCTGCTTTAATACTTGCGTACAAGCCTTTTGGCTTGCAGATACAGCTCAGTTATCTTTGTAACTTCAAGCTCTTGAAGGCTATGAACCTTAGAAATGTCAGATAAGAGTCTCATGTGGTCATTTGACTCCAGGAGTGTGGTTTTTGCATGCCAGGATTTACAGTGTAAGCATGGGAGCTGGCAGCTCTTCGGGGTTACTGTGGGTAACCATGCAGTGTTCCTCAAAATAACCTATGTCCTTTATGTCCTGTTGGAGTAGAAATACCTATTCCAGCATGCTCCCTGTAAGAGATCTCGACCCAGCGAAGCTCTCTCCAAAATGTTACTGAGCAGTTAAAGGAGTAGTGAATTTTTAAAAGCCAGCAAGAAGTCACATCCTCCCACTTTCACATCAGTTCATTTGGATGCTGATTTCTCTTCTTGTTTTAGAGGAAACAGAAATCTCTCCCTTACACTTTGAGTCCGTTTTCAAACACAGTAGCACATGATTTTTTCTTTGCGTGTAATTTGCTGAAGTACTTGGCAGTATTTCAATGGAAATGGGTGAAACATTCCAGGCTCCTTGCATTAACTCCAGCATGGGAATGCCTCTGCAGCTTAGCCACAGAGATGACATTAAACCTCCAGCTGCAGCAGAAGAGTGTATGTCCTGTGGTCCAGCAGGGATCACTTTGGTCTCTTATGGGCAAAAGGCATCTTACTGCAGCTGGTCAGTGTGCTGATGTCCATGTCTAACATTCTTCTCTAACTACTAGGTCTGGCCTCCAATGTGGTTCCCATGTTCCTTGGAGAAGTGTCCCCCAGAAATCTGAGAGGTGCTATTGGGGTAGTACCCCAGCTCTTCATCACCGTTGGGATCCTTGTAGCTCAGATCCTTGGTCTCAACAGCATCCTTGGAAATGAAGAAGGTAAAGACCTGTTGTGGGACTTTTCTGTGGGCTCCATGAAGGAATGATTTCTCACAGCTGTCATCTTCTCTCCCTTGCTGTAGGCTGGCCCGTGCTGCTGGGACTCACTGGGATCCCATCAGTAATTCAGCTCCTTGTGTTGCCCTTTCTCCCTGAGAGTCCCAGATATCTGCTGATACAAAAAGGCAACGAAGAGCAAGCACGACAAGGTACAGCATCATCCTTGAATGAAAGGGGAAGTGGGATGGGATAGATCTGACTGTGGGACATGACTGACAGCACCCAACAGTGAAGCAAGTGCAAAATTCTTCATTGGTGGTGGATGGAAACTCCTGCAGCATTGCTCCTTTCTCTTAATATGTGAATCCGTGGCTTCCCACCATGGAAGCACTGTTGCCTATGGCTTATGTGTTGTTCTGTCTTGGTTTGGAGCAGAAGAGCTCACTGGGGTGCTCAACTCATCTTCCTCTCCCAACCAGCTCTGCAGAAGCTGAGAGGCTGGGATGATGTGGACGATGAGTTAGAAGAAATGCGCCAAGAGGACCGGTCAGAAAAGGAAGAAGGGCATTTCTCTGTGCTCAGCCTCTGCACCTTCAGAGGCTTGCGATGGCAGCTCATCTCCATCATTGTCATGATGATGGGCCAGCAGCTCTCTGGGGTTAATGCGGTGAGTGGGAACGCACGTGGGAGAGGCCATGGGGGAGTGAGTGATAAAGGGATGGGGCTTTAAAGTGGGTGATATGGGGCAGTGCTGACACAGGAGCTAGAACCTTGGACACAGGCGTACCCCTTCATGAGGGACCCTGGGTCTGCATCATGTTGTGGTGAGCTGACCCTGACCAGTACCAAATCCAGTACACGCATGTATTAGACACACAGTCCAACTGTTCTGTTGAGGGTAGTTTGGTTTAGAGTGACGTGCTTGTGACTGAATCCAAACACCAGTGTCTCCAGAAATTAAATAATTCAGTTATCAGGCCTCTGTGTGCCAGTTCCAGGATGTAAAAGCAAAAATGGGACTCTGTGTTCTGCCTTTGGCCACATCTAAACATGGCTGTGGTTTTTCTGCAGGTCTTCTACTACGCAGACAGGATCTTCCAGTCGGCAGGTGTGGACAGCAACAGCGTGCAATACGTCACTGTGTCCATCGGTGCCATCAACGTTGTCATGACTTTGCTCGCTGTAAGTTTCTATTAGGGCTCTGCTAGTCCCTGTTCTCCCCTGTCTGTCCCTGTCTAAATTGGGTTAAGTCATTTACACCTCCTGTGAGCTGCTTTGCACAATAGATGCCTTGCAGTGCCCCTTGGGTGAGGGCAGCTATCTTAACCGAAGAGATTAATCATGCTGATTTCTCACATGCCTTGGAACATATCCAGCTTTCTGCAGTTCATGGGTGATTTCATGCTCATAATAGATCAGTAGATGGTGGAAATTTCACTGAATTTCTTAAAAGACAAAGACCTTCTTAATAATTTTTTTTCTAGAATAAGTGCTGTGCCCCAGATCTGGTCTCTCAGCATCTTCTGTCTCCCTCAGGTTTTCATCGTGGAGTCCCTGGGGAGGAGAATCCTTCTCCTCGCTGGCTTTGGGTTGTGCTGTGTCTCCTGTGCGGTGCTGACAGTGGCCCTCAATCTCCAGGTGTGTAGCTGAATGGCTCGGGTGATCCCACCCGTGCATTTCTGGACCTTCCAGGGAACAGGCCATTGGGATGCTTTGAAGTTGCTTCTGCACCCTGGCAGGGAGGGGGCAGTCTGAAAGGTCTCTGCACTTGTATATCTACCTAAAGTAAACCCAGGAAAAGGTATGGTCCTGCTTGTCTGGGTACTCCTTCTAGTAAGTCACATTCATAATACCTGTTACAGCCATTTGTTGGAAGCAAGGATCATACCCAGGCTATGATGTTTGTGGCTGAGTATGGACATATCTGACAATAGGGGGTGACACTGGCCATCAAATCTTACAACAAATAGTGCCTTGAATGTGTTGGTGATGCTCAGACAGGAACCACGTCTAACCTGTCATTAACTTCTTCCCAGACCACTGTCTCATGGATGTCTTACCTCAGCATAGTGTGTGTCATCGTTTACATCATCGGACACGCTATTGGAGCCAGTAAGTACGCACAGTGTGGTCCAGTCTCCTCCACAGGCTGGGTGAAGCCAAGTGTTGTGCTGAATTTCAAATCAAAGGCTTTGTGGAGCTAATCCAAGCAGACTGAGTTTCTTCTCTGTGTGGTCGTGCACTTTGATTTTCAGCAAGGCTCCTGTTCAGTGGTCTGTGTCTGTGAGGCAGGGGAGCATCAGACTTTCAAGAGAAAAAGCAAAGGCAAAACTGTGCTTGTGCCTGAGCTTCCCCCCAGTAACATCTGGAGCAAAAATATGGTGAGAATGAGCCCTACCAACTGGGCACAGAAGTGTTGTGTGCTTGCATCTATAGGCAACAAATCAAATTAGAAGCAACTCAAATTATACGTGTGGCCCTGCAGATCCCATTGCAGAAAGGAGATGTGATGGAGATTTCCAACACCTGCATCTGTTGGGGTGTTTCTCAGCTTTTCTGTTTTTAAGAAGCAATGACTGACTTAGGTGCTGCTCACATGGTGCTCTCTGGAGAGGCAGCTTGTGTTCATCAATCTGATTTTACAATTTGTGCTGGAGAGGGGCTCGTGGTTAAGGCGCGACCATAGGAGAGAAGAGGTTGATTGCTGTGTATGAGCTTAGAAAAGTAATATGTTTGCCCTGTGTGTGGGGTTTTTTTAATATATCTTTTTTTTAATTTAATCCGTTATTTGATTTATTAGGTGTTTCTGAACACCTGCGGTCCAGAAACCATTGCCTGCCACTGAAATGAGCAGCATAATCTAGGAATTCAGAGTGGGGGAATTGTCTTTGGGATTTCTAAACCTGTACCTCCCTTCCAGGTCCAATCCCCTTTGTGATGATCACCGAGATGTTCCTGCAGTCGTCCCGGCCCGCGGCGTTCATGGTGGGTGGGTCTGTGCACTGGCTCTGCAACTTCACCGTGGGGCTCGTGTTCCTCTACATGGAGGTAAGATGCAGTCTTACAGGGCAAGGCTTCAGCGTAAAATTAGTGTCTTCACCCCTGTCTTCTTACAGAGAGCCTCGTTACTCCTGAGAGCTGTAAACGTCCACATTGGTTTCTAATACCTGTGTGCAGGTTTATATATTAAGGGCAAGAAACTGATGTGAATCGGCATTTTTTTATCACGTCTGTCTGTTGCACATGCTTTAAAAGAGAGCGCTTATTTTTCCAGCTGAATGTTTTATCCTGAATTCAGGAGCATGGAAAAGATTACAAGTTTCCTATCTTCCATTTTAGCCAATTTTTAGCTTTTGATCTCTAGTTCAGCAGCTCAAACTGATCCCAGCGGTAGTGACCCATAAATTGCTACAGCTGCTGATTTGAGCCTGTGCAAAGGGAGCTGGTGATTTGAGTTGGATTTGCATAACAGACCCTCACCCTCCTCTTCCAGTAAATCCGTAGTGGTTTCCAATAAACCCATGATGGTGGAATGAGAATGCGGAATCTAGAACCACCCCTAACTTCTAGTTGTTCAACTTAAAATATGTGCATAGCACTGTGGCTCCTCTTTTTTTTTTAGCTATTGCAGGGTTCAGCATGTCCAAATCATGTAACAGACACACCTGGAGCATTCCTCTGATCCCTGCTCTGTCTTCTTTCCTTGCCCTAGGCTGGCCTGGGGCCCTACAGCTTCCTCATCTTCTGTGCCATCTGCCTCGCCAGTATCGTTTACATCTTCTTCATCGTTCCCGAGACGAAGAACAAAACCTTCATGGAAATCAACAGGATCATGGCCAAGAGGAACAAGGTGGAGATCCAGGAAGACAAGGAAGAGTTTAAGGATTTCCACGCTGTCCCAGGCAGGCAGACAGAGAAGAAAATCTCCAGCAGTGAGCTGTGACCTGGCCCAGACACCTTTCAGGATCTGTTCCTCCTTTGACATTGATCTTCATTCAGACTTTCTGCAGACTTCCCACAGCAGGAGGTTCCCAAATAAGCCATTGTGTCTTGAGAACATTGTGAGTAATTAGCAGGACCGTTCTGCTTCATGGCATAGCCAGTGCCAAGGCAAATCACCCGTTCATGGGATTCGTCACAGGCAAAGGGCAACCCCTCAGCCAGCTCTGTCCTGTGATCAAGTAACTCATGCCATAAGGTGCTTTATGTCCCTGATGTCCTGACTGACACATCTCAGGGACACAAGCCAGCTCTGGGGCTGGGTTTTGGTCAGTTGTCAAGGAGTGCACTGTATCCCTCTCAGGAGCTGTCATTCGTGTATTTGAGGGTCCAGCATGGGTGACCTCAGGCCTTTGGTGCTCTGGAGTGGAGAGCGTCAGTGGTTCTGAGATGCCTTGTTAGATGGGCTGATAATGGCATTTGTCCTGTTAACTCTTGTCCTTCCTTTGTGTGCTTCAAAGGACCCCAAACTGGAAATGTGTATCACTATAACCTGACCCCTATCCCTATCCAGCTCTCTCTTTCAAATCAAACCCAGTCCTCAACTGCTGCTGCTGAGTCCTTCCAAAGCCTACAGGTTGGAGCCTGTGTTTGCAAACGTGTCCAAACTCCTCTTTAGCTTCTCACATTAAGCTGCTTCAATTTAGTTTCTGAAATAACTCTCGGGTACTTGAAACTACTTGAAAAAGTCTTCAAATGGTTTAGAGTTGGTCCTTCTACTGGTTTCTGGTTGTGTTCCCTCCGGGCACCATTCCACCTGATGGCTAAATTCACTGGAAAAGCTGAGTCTGAAGAGCTAGTGCTGAGTCTCAGAAGACAGTGAAGTGCACACTGATAAAAAAGGAGGGTTTCTTAAAGTATTTATTTGTTTAAGGGGTTTGGGGGTTAATTACAGCATAACTTAGCATGGGGAAATTCAGTTTAATTGTTGTGCAGGGCTGCTGCCCTCTGTTTTGAAGAAAAGCAGAATTGAGGAGCATGGTATGGATTTTGTGTTGTTGGAGATAGCTCTTCATGTGATTTTCTTTAACCTTACAAGATAGATTTTATACCTGCCCTCAAACTTGTGATGTATACATGTTGAAAAAGAAGCTGTTTCCATGCTCGATCTCTGTATCTTTTTGCAGAAAAAAAGGCACGCTCAAAGCACAATGATTGCAAGGGCTTTACGTTCCCATTCCTATGCAATACGTCTGCAGGGGAAGGGGTGGTGATTTGGAGGTGGGAAATTGGAAAGAAGGATGCATGCAGGGAAGATGGTGAGAAACTGGGACTGGGTGAAGGATGTGAGAGAGATTTTACTTGAGAAAGTGGCTCTTTTGAGCAAAGACAGTGTATAGGGACCTAAGTCACGCTCCTGGGAGCGATGTGACAATACGAGGTGCTGGACTGTGCCAAGTTCTCTATTCCTTGCCTCTGTCCCACTGATGGGGGCCTTCTTTCCATCTACCTACTTGGAAAAATGACCTGGAGCACTAGCAGGTGCGTAGTGAGCCCATACCAAACAGAAGCAGCAGCAAGCAAATAATCTAAGTCTTCCTCAGTTTCCCCGCCAAGCAGTTTGGACTCTTCTGCTGCTTAAAAAAATTATAATTAAAAACTGGGGTCACTGGCAGCTAGTGTCGGACTCCAGAACCACCCCCCCCAAGAGGGTCATGGAGGTTTCTCCCCAGGCTATGATATCTCCCTTCAGCTGCCCTGGTTTGCACAGTGCAAGTGCCCGGATATCTGCAGGACTGAGAACTTGGCTCCACAGGTTCACCTGAGTCATCCACCCTGCAAAACCATTGGAGAATGTCCCAAGAAGAGTGTCTCTGTCTTTCCCGAGGACAAGCGTCCCTCCAGCCTGGCTCACATACCCCTTCTGGATACTCTTTGCTTTCCCAGCTGCCCCATTGAGCCATAAATTGGCCATTCCAGACTGGGAGGCCCATGCCACGCAGTAATGCAGCCAATCTTCTGCCTCACGGTACAGGGGGAGGCTGATGAAATGGCCTCCGATCCACAACCCCACATCTGTGCCCACTGTCATCACCAGCTCCTTATCCCTCTCCTGTGTGGAGTAGGAGAGCACAGTCTGAGTGCCAGCGTGCTGGGCTTTGGTCCAGAAACATAAGGTGAAGGCTTGGAGAGACATTTCATGGAGGGGATGAACGCTCACTAAACTCTCAATGTTTTCCACCGGGAAGTAGAAAGCTGGAAAAGTGCTGGATTTAATACCTGAAATAACCGAAAAGCCAGCTGTTACATTTCTTGCTGTGCCTATAAATAAGCCCAAATCCTGAAGAATGCACCCAGAGGAGCTGGCAGGGCTGTGGCAGTCATAGCTGTCTTGAGCCACAGTCACTGTTGCGTGTCGTACCAACAGGGAAGGGGCTTGAAATGATGCAAAGCTTAGATCCCTCACCCAGCTGTTTGCGAAAATCACTTTTTCCCTCTTATCATGTGTAAAATAGAGATGAGTATTATTTATCCTAGGGGAACTGTGGGCTTAAATTCCTCACTCTTTGTGAAAATGTGCTTATGTGTTCCAGTTGCTGTGACAGTAGCTAGATTAGGGCAAGCTCTAATGATGCCGTAGTTTAAGAATTTCCATCAGCAAGTCTCGATATGGGACAGAATTCACTTGCACATCTCCACACCAAACTTGTTAATGATTTAGGCCCTCAAAGACAGCAGGATATGAGCTCTGCCTCCTTGGAAGCTAAGCTGCACTCAAGAATAGCTGTGTGTTTCTTACCTATGTGGCTCACCCCATTCAGCAACTCTCTCTTCACGTCTTGGAGCTGCATCTGGATTTGTTCCAGCCTGAGGCTGACTTCTTCTGGGTGGCATTGTTCTAGAGCAAGCAGACAGCTGGATTTACAGGAGGACAGGACCTGTGCATGGTAGATTTTTCTGCTTTCTAGATTGTAGAAGGTTTGGGGGAAACCTAATGCAGTGTCTCACCTCCATATGGTGCATGGCTGATCAGCCATGGCAGAGCTGTTTCTATAATGGTTATAATGGTTACACTGCTACTCCTGGGAAAGGTTTCTCCACCATGCCTAGCTTAGTGATTTGCAACTGAACTCCTTCCACATAGGTTTCTTGCCTGAGAAAGGAAAGCCCGAGTGCTGCTGCCTCCTTTACCTTGGGTGAGCTGGGCTCTGAAGGAGGACTCCACCACACGCCCGTTGAGGGGCTGAGCGTGCCGGTAGTCGTTGCGCAGTGTCCTGTTGTGCCAGTCCAGCAAGGTGTTCTCCAGGAGTCTGATCTGTGGGCAAGGCAGGCTCATTACGGAGGGCAATGAACAAGAGTTTTGCAGTGCAGACCCTGCAGCTCGGGATTAAAGGTGGGAATTTGGTATAGAGGAACCCACAGGGTCTCTGCAGCTCAGGATTAAAGGTGGGAATTTGGTATAGAGGAACCCACGGGGTCTCTTGCTTTAGCAAGGGAAAGGAGCAGAACATGAGGGCTGTAATCAGCTAATTCATGATAAAGGTATTTTGCCTGAAGGTAGTTTTTAACACCTGCCTGACTCTGCATGGATGGAGGTTGTGCTGCTGTTCTGCAGCATAGTGATTCCTCACTAGTGCCTACTAGACTTCCCCCTGCCAAAAAGAGCATTTCTTTTTCACAGAACGTCCTGTGATCTCCCACTACTGTAGTCTCCACTTTACCTTGTTCTCCTCCTAGAAGGAAGTGTTTCTGCTGCTGCTTTTCCATTACAGAGGATGAATCACTCTGCAGGACGCATCAATAAGCTTATTTTACTTATGTTTTGCTGTGCTCAAACCTTTGTCCTGACAAGGCAGGCAAGGAGGAGAAGGGGATCCTGCTGTGGGATGGTGTTCGACTGCCAGCACAAGTGGGGCCACTGCCCAACAAGTCCCCTGCAATGGCTCTGGAGCCTCCTCCTGTCCCACAGCCAACACTCGCAGCAGAACTGATCCCATCTAGCTGCACAATGCAAGCACAGACAAGAAAAACCCAAAATACTCCTCTAAAAAAATGTGCTGATTGTTCTGTAATTATTTTAATGTTACGAATGGCTCTTTTATAGTTTTTTGGGAGGATTTTTTTGGACTCTCTTGCAGTAGTTTTTGCCTTGTTGATTCTGACTGATCTCTTTTTATAGTGTGTAACTGAGCAGAGAGCTTTGTTATCGCTCACCAGACCTCGGGTAAACTGCTGCTGATAGGAACTGAGCCTTGCTGTGATGTAGCATCACGGTGCCATTACAGCCACCCATAATTCTGGTTGCTTAGGAGTCCATCCCTGCATGAGCCCTGCCCTATTAGCTCCTCTGTCAGGCTGATCCCCAAATCCCTGCAGCTCAGAAAAGGAAACTTGTGTGGAAAGGTCAAGTGTGGAGGAAAGAGAAGCTGCTCTGCCTGGTAAACAGCTATCACTTACCTGTGTGTGTGACAGGACGATCGGAGAATGAAAGATGGTCCAGATCACACTCTCGGAGCAAGGCGGGGTTGTCAGTGAGCCCTGGTACCTGTAGAAGTGCGAGAGGTTTTCTGGCAGCATGGCTTGGATATCCAGAGAAATGAGCTTTGTTGATTGACCTCCAAAGGAAACAGAGAGGCAGAATTAATGATTAATGGGCAACAGAGTAAGGCAAGAGTGGTGTTAGAGCTGGGGTTGGCAGATCGCTTTGCCCAGAGCACTGGTACGTTGGACCTTTGGCAGAACCGGACGAAGATGGAGGGAAGTGAGTGGTCTTTCCAGTAGATCTGTGGTTTGTCATTGAGATACCAGATACTGGAGGTGGGGGTCAAGTGCACCCCAGTGCTCTGCCAGTAGCTGCAAGTCTTCCCAGGGAGCTATCAGGGTGTGTGCAGACTGCAGGAGGTCGTTATTCAATGGTTCTGCAGTATGTTGTGTTGATCTATCAGGAGATGTTCACTCCCTTGAGCATCTTCCACACCACCCTGCTGTGTGCGCTGCTATTTGAGCAGTGTGAAGGATGCTTGGCTATGTAACTGCGTGCAAGCAAAGCAGCAGCAAAACGTCTCTCCTCAGACTCAGTCTGTCCGTGCAGGCTTTGAGAATAACAAGGATGGAGAAAGACATCTTACTGGGTCTTACCTGCAAACCTGATTTTTGCCAGTTTGGAAATGAATTCACTGTAGTAGGTATTCTCAAAGTGCCCATCCTAAACACAGCATAGGAATTTGAACAAAAGGTTAGTGACCTGCCTGTCCTTCTCTGCTACTGATCAGCTTTCTCAAACTGGTGGCAGACATCATCCTTTAGGACAGACGTACAACCCCAGTGCAGGCTGCTGGTGTCTGGACCTGTCCAGACTGCGATTACAGCCTGAACAGTGACCACAGACTGGCCTTGCTCAGCAGCCTGGGCATCCAACCTACCACATACAGGAAGGCGAGCACAGCCAATCCGTTTGGTTTGTCTTTGGCTTCTTCAAAGCTCGAGTAGTCAGCAGAATTGTAATGGACGATGTGCAGCTGCCAGAAGAGAGACAAGGTCATTTAGCAAGAAGTGATAAATGGTTCCCTTGGTGCTTTAAAGGAGCAAAAGGGAGAGTCACCATTCCACCTCCTGCTGTTTGTGCCTCAGCACAGCCAAATAGACTTTTATTTTAATAGGTTTGTGACGAGTGTGGAGGAACAACTCCATCTATGAGGATATTAGTGCTATTGCAAGGGTTTTGCTTAGTATTCTGTGCCACCATTGCACCAACCACCTGCACTTCTGGGAGCCCCATTTCTCCCACTTGCCCCTGCATTGTTTCCTGCAGGCTTTGTGGGCTACAGCTTCCAGCTTCTCCATTGCCAGACTTGGGATGCACCCTCCCTCCAGCCCATCCCGTTCACTGGTACCTCTGCGAAGTATCTCATCCCGTCTACAGTGTGTTCAGAGCCGCTGGTCTCCAGGTCCAGCCCACCCCAGTGCAGATGCATCTGTACAGCTGTGTAGAGGCCTGGGAGCCCCCTGGAGATGTTCATGGTGGGGGGCAAATCAATCTGGACTGAAATAAAACAGGATTGGAATATAAATCAGCAATAAAACAGCAGTGGGTGCAGCCATGCCCATTCTTGGAGCTATGCTTACTGTAATTCGCTTTCTGCCAATTATTCCCTCTCTGAAATAAGTCAGTGTTCAGGAATGAGCTCCAGTCTGCAAGGGAAACTGCTGAAGCTTAAAGCAAGATGTGCTTAAAGTCTTGCCTGACCTCAGGCTTGTGTATCACAGAGTGCACCAGGCACAAAGACAACTGGGCACTACCTGTGCCTGCAGATTATTTTATTTCCCCATCTTTTTGTTTTCTCATCATAATTTCCAGTATTTCGGTCTCTGCATCTTCTAGGAACAGGCATACTGGGCTGGAGCCCGTGAGTTTGAAAAGGCTGTGTTAATGCTTGAAGGATTTGTAGAGACAAATCTCTTTGCTTCTCCTTGCCAAGGAGTATTCACAAAGAGACTATGAAACATTTGTCTTCGTGCTGACGTACTGCCACAAATCATGTATTATGTTAATAAATATGCCAGTCCTAGGAGGGCAAATGGAGAATTGCCTCAACCTAATGAAAGCCCAGAGTGTGTTATAAAAAAAGAGCAGCTATCCTTGCAGAATGTAGCACAGTATATGCTTCATTAGTCATAGTTTGGGTTTGTGAGAAGATTATTTTGTTTGTCAACGGTTTACAGACAAGATGACAATGTGTTTTCTTGCAGTATCCCAAAGAGTCTAGAGTGGGGAAAAAACAAATCTACCTTCTAGCCTTCTGTAAGGTATTTTATGCAAATACTTTGCTGAAAGCTTGAAGGTAGGTTAACAGCTCAGTTTGCTTCTACTTTCCATCCATGTAAAGTGCGTGGAAAATGACTGCTCTGGGCTGGAAGTGCTTTACTCCCGCTTAGCTCTGGTTTTGCCAGGTTTTGCCAGGCAGCGGAAAATGAGCTGGGATTACGCAGTGTGAATTTGAGGGCAACTGCGCCTTTCCCTAGCATTTCTGCTCTGCAATTTGGACTCTCGTCCGTTACTGCCTTGCAGATGACAGCACACACAGCAGCGTGTTTGCTCCTCTCTGGCCTCTGAGTTAATGAGTTAACGAAGGCCCCACTTGAGGTCCCAGTTCCAAGGCAAATCTGCTACCGGCGGAAGCTGCACACCCCCTGCCTGGATGACATTTTAATCTCCCAGAGCTGTACGTGTCCTTGCTACCTATGGGAGGACCAATCCTGTTTGGAAAACCAAAAAGTCCAAATATCACATACAAAAGGCTTCATTAACCTACGGCTATCTGCGTGAGTGTCTGCACGGATGCAGTAGATAAGTGCAAATTCCTTGTGCAGACGCTCTGCACTACTGCAAATAGGCTTTATCAGGTGGGATTTAGCCTGTAATTATATAGCTAGAGAGAAAGTGTAGCTGGCTTCTAGGTGAGATGCTTGGTCTTCAGCTCCTGAGAACCTGTAAGGAGAATACTGTCTGCTTTTCTAAAATGCCCTGAAGAAAAAAAAATACCATTGTTCTGATGTTAACAAAATAATAGGAAACTACACATACGCAGTCAGAGACCTGAAAGCTAAACCTGCAGGAATTAATTTGTAAGCAGTTGGGGTAGCAATGCTGACATGAGAGTTTGTAACTGAATGTTGAGCTTGTGTGGGCGACAAACAGGAGTACCTATTCATTATGATATTTAGAAATATAATCACAACAGTATTCCTCTGAAGGCAGTGTGTCTCTCATCACTTCATTTCCTTGTTCTCACTCTGTATTTCTCTCTCGCTATTACAGAGAGGAAGAAAGGACTCTTGTGTGGGATTACAGAGCTACCAGCTTTATGTTCCAAACACCTTCCCAAAAATACTCACTGCAGGTATTAGAAAATTCTCTCATTGCTCATCTGTAGTCCAAAAGCATTATCGCAGCAGTGCCAGCTGATGAATTATTTAGACAATGAATTACAGACAGCAGCAGGGGAATCCAGGATCTCCTAAATTATAAGCCTTGCCCTGAGCCTGTGTAGCCAAAGGCAAGGCTTTTAACCCATGCTGTGCTTCAGCTTCCCTTCCTGAGACCCGAAATACCAATCCCCTGACTGTGAGGGAGGGATTCTCCTCTGTGTTGTACTCAGTGTGACATTTAATTGCACTTCCGATGCAAGCTTGCTACTGAGCTGTGGTTCTCTATTCCTATTTCTTCTAGTTCTTGATATTACACAGGGGCAAAAGATGCATTTTCTGAATGCAGAGAGGGCCAGTATGCACCAAATACCATTCTCTGCTGTAGTCCTTTCTTCTGGTACGCTGAAAGGGTCAATCTGTAATGCTCTAGCTGCTTTTATCCCTTTTTAATGTCTTGCAGAACCATAACTGTATTTTATTTCTCTGGTTTAGATCTGTGTTTCTGGAGGGCTTTCCTGTGTGACTGGGGAAAACAGCACAACTGGGAGAGCAGAATGCAGTGAGATGGCAAAGCAAAGAAAGGTGAATTCAAAGAAAAGGGCATTGTCTGTGAATAGCATTTTAATCAGCTAAAATGAGTAATCTGTTCCTGCACAGTCATGAGCTCAACATCCTCCCAGGACATCTGCTCAGCCAGGGAATAAAACTGCCTACCCCTAGGGCAAAGCTGGCTGATTCTTCTGCCTTTCAGCCCAGTGCCGCTTTCTGGCCAGAAAAAGGTTTGTGATAATGTTCTGGCTATGGCAGAGTGCCGAGGTGAGCACACAGGAGCTGTTCCTGTATCCTGTGTGTGCTGGGAGAATACTCATAAAGTCTCCTTTATACCCCAAAAGCACTGTAGTAAGTGCATGCTATGCTGCCCAGGTGAAACCTCCAGAGGATACACCACAGCCTGCTTTATAGCTTAAAAGCAGAAAGCTGTCAGGTTTAGGTATTTCTCCATCGCTGCCCCAGCAGGAAGCTCCGTGCTTTCTCCCGCTGTGGTGCGCAGAAACCCGAACTCACCAGTGCAGGATGCCAACAGAGGTGTGGATAAAAGGGCTGGGTTTTCAGGACAGACCTATTAAAGACATCTGCATTTCAAAAATGCAAGGTCTTTGCTTTGCTATTGCTGGGCTGTTCCAGCATCGCCCGCTGTCATGGCAACAGTGCATGGGAGGCCCCCGGATGCTGCCTGTGCAGTGACCCATGCTGGTACCCAGCCATGGCTCAAATGGGGCAAAATAGGGCTGAAGGGGACAGGTGGCCCTTGCTTCCTTGTGCCTTGGAGCTGTTATTTCTGACAGGTGAAAGCTGGAGCTGCTGCAGGACCAGGTCAACTCCTTGCGCTTTAGGCCCTGATTTCTGTTTCAGGCTGCTCCTTTGTCAGCAGTGACTCAACCAGCTCCTCTTTTTTAGGTAGGTAACAAGAAGGATCCCTTCAGTCTTACCAGAATGACCATTGTTGGTCATGATGAAATCCCCCTGCAGAGGCCCATCATACCCAGTCAGCTCCAGCTGCAGTAACTGGGGGTTGTACCTCACTTTTTTCCTCTGGATGTCGATCGGAGACTGGTGCTTGCCAGCACAGTCTGGGAAGTCCTTTCCCCAGTGCTCTTCATCCAGCTCTCCTTCTGCGGGGAGGAGAAGCAAAGCAGGTTATTAGGACATGGGGAGAGCTGCTGCGAGCTCAGGAGTCACAAACCTCTCCTCGCTTGCCAGCAGGGCATGGCAATCTGGTTATTATAACACCAGGAGCTGCAGCAATAAAAGGTTTCTCTGCTTTCCCTAGAGTGCAAACATACATTATTCTGCCTGCAGGACAACTGCGCCACAAAATAAGAAGCCTGCATTGCAGTAATAGCATACTGATTGCTGGAGACTGAACCTCCACTGAAAGAGAAGCAGTGTTTATATAGAAATGAGGATTTAAATGGGTCTCAGCCGCTGAAGGTGTGGACTCAGGGTCTCAGCCAGTGTGAAAGTGAACAAGGCCAGGGCAGTCCCTGCCTAGGATCAGGAACCGGCAGCAAATTTGCTGGTTTTAGCTAGGGAGAGAGCTAACAAAAGAAGAATAGCGGTGAAATGGTTTCAATAAAGGGAACTTTCTGCATGTTTTGTGGGACAGCAGTGGTCTGGGGTGGCTTTGACGTCCTGTTGTGTTTTTATTAACAAAGCCCACCCCTCTCCTGACCACAGCATCACTTTCTGGTGCCCCTTTTTACACACAACAAGTAATGACAAAGGGATTAATTGCTTTTGTGAGACAGATCCTGGTGTGGAATAGGGCCTGGGCCTCCCAATTTCGGGATTCGGTTCATTGCTCTGAGCTTTTGATGCCACTTCAGCCCCCAGGCCCAATCACCCCGAAAGGTGATGCCAAGTGTGAAAACCAGGTCCTCTTCCTGCTCAGGCACAAACATTTGACATGGGACAAGAACTGAAGACGTGCAAGTGCTCATCAGCTCTGCAAGTATTTAACCCTAAAAACCTCTGTAGTGTTATATTTAGGGCTTTAATGGTAAGTAGAAATTTTGATGCCATTTCTATCATGGCTGTGACTGATAATCAGTATAGAAACCTCTTCTTCTTCTCCCCAGAGCTGCAATATATCGATCAATGCCAGTCGTGTCTGTCTGAGACAAACAGAGCTAGAGCAGAGGAAAATCACCATGGGATTGTTGAACTCAACTGACTTCAAATCCTGCAGAGACGGTTTGGAAGGAGAGGTGATTGTTTTAAAAAGAAAATAGTTTAAAGCTACTTCGTCATCTTCCTAATCTTCAAATTCTTGTAATTACAGCCACAGTTGGAGATTTGTTACTATTTGCTAATTCTTTTCTTCTCATTTCATTTAAGCAATGTCAGTTTGCAGGTATTTGTTTCCTGACATCGATTAAATATGGGGGCTTAGGAGATGCTGAGAGCCTGGCCAAAAAGAAAATCCAGAGAGAACTTCTGCAAACAGCTTAGTGTCCTAATTGCAATATTGCGCCTATTCAACACTATCCTTTGTTTTAGCTTGATCCCCAGCCTACTGAAGATCATAAAAGGACTACCGTTTACTTCAATGAGCCCTGCAAACAATTCCCTGAAACAAAGGAAGATCAGATAAAATTTCACAAAATATATAAATACTTAAATAAGCACTTCTTAGTGATCTGTAGTGCATGGGATATGACAATAAAATAACGAGCAGGCAGTATTTAAAGCTTTTCCTTGCAGGATCATCCAAAGGGCAGCTTTTGTTCTCCCACATTGAAAAGATTTTCCCCATTGTCTGAACCTCATTGCTCTGCCAATTCTGACAATGTGTCCTAACCACACAAAGGAGTAAAGAGGGGTGACATTGAAGAGAATCACTTTCAAGATACACAGGCATCAATAAAGTGGAATAAATTAGCTGCTCTGTGGAGATCTTTCGGTAATGGAAAGAGAGTCAAGCTGAGTGGTGCTTCTGCAGCACAAAAAAAAAATGGGAGCGACTTTAGCAAGCTGGCAGACCCCAAAACAGCCTCATTTTTCATTACCTTTGTACGTCCAGTGCACGAGGTGGGAGCAGCTCAGATGCACCAGGAGCAGGTGGAGCAGGGCAGCTGTGGTCCCCATCTCTCGCTGTATCTGCAGTCACAACCAAGGTGGGGAATGCACTTCTTTAAAAACCCTCAGAAAATGTAAATTCCAATTTACTCCAGAGCTGGCCTTTCCAGCACCCGTCCCACCCTTCTCACCCATTCATCTCCTCATTTTTCCTGTCCGTTCATTCCCAATGAGCAGGTTGAAAAGCTTTATTAATTATGTGTAAAATAGCGCTTTGCAAGCAAAGATACCCTACACAGGTCTCAACCACTGTCCTGAGGTGGCAAGCTGTTTACTTGTCACACACAGGAAAGAGCCAAGGCAGAAAGCATTTAAGGGACTGGTTTTTAAAAGTGCTGAGCGTTCACAGTCTTATTAGAAGTCAAAATTGTAGACACACAGCTCCTTTGAAAATCAGGCTTCTGAGGCCAGGTTTAAAAGTGCTCCACACCCACAAGCGTTTTGCTTTCAACACCTTCTCTACTCACTGAAAATCTAGTTTCAAATGTGAGAGATTTGCAACTTTTGGAAAATTCAGAGCTCTAAAAAACTGTCTAGACTGTAGAGAGGTACAGGCATGATGCAAGATGCTAAAACCATGGTGGCTTTTAAAAAAAAATACAGGAATTTAAGTGAAAACTCGGTGGTGTCAGATGTCTGAATGCTCTTGTGGACTTCAGCTGCTGCTCTGTACCTCTTCAGACACTCAATTTCCTTAGAAATGTGTCCTAACCAAATAATTGCCCCAGGCCCAGTAAAAAAGTAATTCTACAGAACAGACCATGGGTCTTCTGCCTGCCTTTTTCCATCCTGTTACAGGCAAATGCCATTCCCTTTGAAAAGCCTTCACATCCCCCCAAAAATTATATACTAGGGACAGCTCTGTCTGCCCAGCTGTGCCTTCTAACCTATAAACCCATGGTTTAATAACAAAAGGGGAGCAGAAATCTCCCCAGAAATGGAATTTTCGCCTGGCACTGAGAAAAGCTACAGTTTCCACCAAAGGCAGCACAAGTTTGCTGTTGATTTTAGATGACAGGCAGCAATGTTAAATATTTGGCAAGGAAACTCACATTGGTGAAATCTCAGCACTTCTGTTTGCAATGTCCCTGCCGCTTGCAATAATATTTGCAATAATTATTTTCAGCAATAAGGTACTTAATAACAGCAATTCAACAATAAGAGCCGCAGGCGAGTTACAGATTTCATGTGAACTCTGGTTTCCAGGATTAGACTGTGCTGAAGAACAGAAGCGGTTTTCTTAATTCAAAATCTTATTCTTTGCAAATGAATTGTTAACATTAAAAGGCCTTTCCTGGTTTGCTGTTTTGTGCAGTGCATATTTAATCTTTGGGAACCGCTGTAATATCGAGTTGATTAACCAAGTGTGTATTTTTCCCTCTTTCCCCTCAAGAAGTCATTTCTTCTGACAGTTGCACTGAACTGTGTAAGGACTAAACAAATTAAACCTGCCCTGCGATGCACTTCATAATCCTTGTGTATCCAGTTGGGTAAACAGGCTTTGAAATTAGCTGAGGGAGAAATTTGGGGGGTTTATACCCATTTTCATGCCAGGATTCCACAGAGCAGCAGGCGAGGGTGTGAACCAGCATCAAGAAGAGGAGGTCACCTCTGTGCCAAAGAGTCCCTCCTGTCGCCCCGTCCATGCCAAGAGTGTTTAAATTTAGGGACAAGCTCTTTCTCTTGCCTGTGATTTATCGATCAGCTAGCCCGCTCTGCACAAAGGATTTGAAATAAAGCCCATTTGGGAATGTACCGGTGCCAGGAAACTGGAGGTGACAGCGAATTAATTTTTAATGGAGCTCTTGCAACGTGCAAAAATTGTGACATTTCTCTTGGCATCAGCAGGAGCCGTGGGTGCTCAGCACATCCAAAAACCACATCATCTGTTAGCATCCCCCACATTAGTGGCTGCTCTGGAAGATGCAGCAATCTGTGGGAGAGGATTTACTAAGGGCACCAAGGATGAATTTGTCTTGGAGTTACGACAGAACAATAATTCTAATTAAAGTCTTTACATTTATTTGAATAGTAAGCTTCTTACTACAGGCAGAATAATATAGAGGGAGTCCTTCTCCTGTATAAAGTATTGTAAATGTCAGCTGTTGTTTATTGATTGTTGGAGCTATAGGGTTTTTTAGGGTATATGGTATTAAACCTGGCTGGCTTGAGGCTTGTCTTTATTAGTCATCTGTTTTGCTACCTCAGTATAATTGTTAGAGAGAAACATGGACCTAGTGCCTAGGAACTCCAGATACCCCAGCAGGACCATGCTTGATGTAAACTGGTGTTTTACAGGTGAGGAAGATTCTGGGTCAAACAGGAATCACCTCTGCACCCAGATTTAGCCAGTGGGAAAATCCAATGTTGACATCTCAGCCATGAATATTCTTGGCATGATTTCCTCACCAGGCCAGGCTGCTTTCACACAGATGTAGCTTTACAGACCTCAGCCTCCCCGCTCCTGCCCAAACTACAGTCAAAAATAAGCCTTTAATCCCACATCATTGGCTTCCATGCACTTCACTTTTATCTCTACAGTTTTCCCTGACTCTTTGCCATCTTTTAAACCCTGCTTCTCCCAGGCTCTTCCCTCTGTCCTCGCTGGCCTAAAGCTCAGCTCAGGTTTGACTTTCAGGTCCGTTCTGAGTATCGGTAGCCACATTAAAACCTTGGCATGACATTGAAGTAGCTGGCTCCATCCCTCAGTGCTCCTTTGACCCAGAACTTGAAAGGGTTAACTCCTCTTCCTCTGAATCAGCAGGATCTCATCAGGGGTTGCAGTCAGAGCTGCATCACTCCCTAACCCAGCAAACATTTGACCAGGCTGTTTGATATCAGATGGACAGATTGCCTTCAATCAGGCTCTCTAGGTTTTCCTAAGTGAGTCTAAAGCCTCTTCAATAGAGGTCTTTCCACTGAAGTCGTGCTGGATGAATAAAAGCACTCAGAGCCTACACTAGTTTTATGAAAGACAAAAAGCAGCTGGTGCTGGTAGGCCCAAACTCATGAGTAAAGCTGGCAATACCTGTGTGGACTGAAACACAAGATCCTTTTATTCAGCAATTCCTGTCATGTTTTTACATTTTCCTCCCAAAACTGGCCCTCGCTTCTTTGAAATTTTGCCCATGCTTTTTGCCCCCCCGGCTTTCAACTGCCTACAGAGATCACAGAAGCCAGAGGTAGGAAAGTGCTAAATTCATTTCTCCAGTACACACAAGCCCTGTAGGCCTCCTTCCTCTTACAGAACATTTTGATGGGCTTGGCTAAATTCACCTTCTACTGACATAAATTCAGATATATTTGTTGATTCTACTGAAGCTTTGTGATAGAAATGGGCTTTGAGGCAGGCAGAGAGAGGCCCACCAGAGATTTACACCAGTGTTTCTAAAAGCAGGATTTGCCTGTTTTAAAGCAGCGAGGTTTCCTCTGCGAATTCCATTTCACGGTCTAACAGATCTCAGCGTTAGCTACCTGCAGTTCATTGTCAACCTAAATTTTCTTTTGTTCAGTTTCAGCCAATTACTCTTAGTTATAGCCATAGCCTTTGGATTATTTTAAAATACTTTTCCCTCTTTAATGTTCACATCATTTCTGGGGTGGTTATCACCTCCCTGCACCATAAGCATAAGCAGCCTTTCACTCACCTTTTCCCCAAGGTGGCGAAAAGGGCAATGGGTTGCTATAAAAAGCAGAGAACACGGTCAAATAATCCCTCTTCATTTTCATTTCCAGGAAATGTAATTACAGTTCTTGTAATATCTATATAGGTCTGCTCTGCAGACTTGGCTGAAAGTGACTTCGGGGTCTGGATCTGTGTGTGAGACTTTATAAAAAGGCTAAGTGTGAAGGGAGGATTGGGAAGGGGGAGGTAAATTCCCTCTGCATTTAGCATGAGCTACACAGGAACGCAGCCCAGGTGTGAGGATTGATGGAGCGTGGTCAAGAGATGGTCTGGGAGAAATCTTTTCCATCATACCAGGGCTTTACGCCGTGGACTTGGATGGTGGTGGGATAAAGAATTAATAATTCAGTGATAATACAGCTTGTCAGCATGTGCTAATACCTGTCCACCTTCTCAGACACTGTGTTATTAGTATTAGCACCTCCTTCTGTGAAAATATTAATTTTGCTCCTGATCTCCCAGTGTAATAACATGCAGAGGAAGCACAGTTGCTGCTCAGTCTCTCTGAAAACCAGTATTAGCAGTGCACAAGACCCCAAGCCCCTCCACAAACAACCACTCTTCGCAGAACACATAACGGCGCTGGAAATGTGGCTGTTGCCGCTGCTGGGTAAGCTTTTCCTTTCTTCTGTCAGCGGCATTGTGTGCTGAGCAGCTGTGACATCCAGTGGCCAAACACAATACGGTTGGGTCTGGTACTGAACCCTTCACACACGGTAACAATAACAGAGCCCTTCCATTGCACTTTTCAACTTCAAAGAGCTGTGCAAACAGTAATGCATTAACCCCTGCACAGCTCAGATGATTTTAGTGACCCTAAAAGTACACAGGAAAAGGGGAAACCACTCTCCAAGATCAATCAGCCCTTCAGGGTGATGAAGACCCTGCCCTTGGGCAAAAGTGCAGGACCCTCCCCCACCATTGCAGATAAGGAGTCAGGAAGGCGCAGCTCATTCAGCATCTGATGAAGAGCCCACACCTGGGGGGAAGAGTTGAGCTCTTTTTCCCTACTGCTAGAGAGCCCAAGGGTAGGGGATGGGGAAAGGTATATGAGATGATGTGGCAGGGCCAGAGCTCGTTTGCAAGAGGCGCTTCCTCAGAGGGTTGGCCAGAGGAAAAGGCTTCTGCAATGATTTTCTCAAGATATGAGAGGACTTTGTTGATATATGTGAAAGGTAGGGAAGGGAGCACAAATCTGGATTTGGGTTAATTAAGAAATGCAGTGGCAGAATCAAAGAAATGTGGCTGTAATGAGTTCCCAGCGGTTAACTGGGATTCC